TGATATATGCACATTCTGTTGAGCATAGCAATAATAACTAAGAATTTTCAATGCTCTTATACACTTTCTGTTAAATCTGTTCAGATTACAATATATATATATGTTATATTCAGAGCAGTTATGTTTATTCTGGCATCGAAACGACAGAAAGCATAAAAACAACACCATTTTATTGCTTGTGATAATATTTTAAATACCTTTTCAGATAATAAAGGGAAAAAATCGGAGTTGCACGTAGAATTAGAGTAGAAACTGGAATGTGAGACAGATAAAAGTGCACCTTAGAAAGAAAGGTGTGTGTGCAAAATGGACAAATAAAAGTGCACCTTAGACAGAAAGATGAGTGTGCAAAATGGACAGATAAAAGTGCACCTTAGCAAGAAAGGTGAGTGTGCAAAATGGACAGATAAAAGTGCACCTTAGAAAGAAAGGTGAGTGTGCAAAATGGACAGATAAAAGTGCACCTTAGAAAGAAAGGTGAGTATGCAAAATGGACAGATAAAAGTGCACCTTAAAAAGAAAGGAGAGTGTGCAAAATGGACAGATAAAAGTGCACCTTAAAAAGAAAGGAGAGTGTGCAAAATGGACAGATAAAAGTGCACCTTAGAAAGAAAGGTGAGTGTGCAAAATGGACAGATAAAAGTGCACATTAGAAAGAAAGGTGTGTGTGAGTGTGTGCAAAATTAAGACACACACGGTGAAAAGAATACGCCTTGTATTAGGTTTAACCTCTATTCTCAGATTTCAAATACAGAATATAAAATAAATAACATCAAAACAAGAGTAAATATGGTTGCTTTAACCCCGAACGTTCTATATCATCATCTGCAATTAGTTGTGCTAAGGCAGGTGCTGCCAGTGAAAATTAATGTTAGACAGGTTAATGCAACCAGATTGCTGAGACTGGTAAATAAAAACTTATTTCCCTAAGTTGATATTCTAGCCCCCATAATACTTGCATGATTATATTTGAACTATGTAATGAAATCCAAATCATTTAGGTTTAAAACTATAATTATCCCCCTCCTATCAAAAAAAAAAGTACTAATATAAAAAATTCGCTCAAACATTCAAGCTGATCATTAAACTGAGATTGAAATATCTACCGTAAATTACAGTAATTACTAAATAGATACTTCATAGATATGGGCGGAACTCCGATATGACTTTTGTTTATCACTATCATGCGAACTTAATAACATTCTAATAATTTTTCTACAGGTCTGTCGTGTATATATATATATATATATTGATTCTCAAAAAACATTACCATAAGTTAAGGAAATATCGTGTTACCAAGACACTAAAACGTGTTTCAAATTGATGCGCAGAAGTCATAGCTGAAACAAGGCAAACGTCATTTAGAGTTACCTCCTTTATGCTGTAATTAAAAACACTTGGGAAAATGTTGAGTCTTAGTTTTGTGCGCAAGTTCGTCCCTTTTGTTTCGTTCATACCAGGAACTTATGATCATTTTACAGCTTCACATATATTGAATTTCGTGCAAAGCTACACGAGGGCTATCTGCGCTAGCCGTCCCTAATTTAGCAGTGTAAGACTAGAGGGAAAGCAGCTAGTCATCACCATCCACGGCCAACTCTCGGGCTACTCTTTTACCAACGAATAGTGGGATTGACCGTCACATTATAACGCTCCCACAGCTGATAGGACGAGCATCTTTGGCAATACGGGGATTCGAGCCTGCGACCCTCAAATTGCGAGTCGAGAGCTCTAGCTTCACATATAAACCGAAATAATGTGCTGAGGTAAGTGTCTCCTGAAATTCTAAATAATTTGCTATCAATAGTGAAATAAAATAGTTCATCAAGTTGCATATCCGTTAGAGAAAAAAAATCCATTTATTTTGAATCAATTTTGTTTCTCGAAACATAAAACCATTTAGAATAAAAATAACCTTATGTGTCAACGTTTTTACCCCGTCGCATCGCATTCTTTGTTGCAGTGAGTGCTGCAAATAGTTATAATCTTGAAAGATTTAGAAGAAACGATAGCAGGGACGCAATCAGCACTACAGAGTTGGGGAGAGAATATTCCTACACTACCTCCACCCCCCAAAAATGTGGAGTTTTTCTTCTACACAAATAACTTAAATGATCTGCATTAAATTCAAGTGCTTATGTTTAAAAAATGAGAAGAAAATGGACTTTTTAGAATCTTTAGAAACTATGGTAGTCGTTCAACTTCCCGACCACTCGGCCCATTATATTGCGTTAAAGCATAACACGGTGTCATGTGAGAGAAGCAATGCTATCACAGACGTTGAGGAAACTTAAATTAATATACTTTAGAAAAATTACACTTTCCTTATATCATCGTAGTTTTATTTTAATATAATTATAAGCTGGGGCCAATTGAAACTACAAAAACAATATAGCATTGTTACACTATAGCCAAAAACAGTATTGTCAATCGAAGTTCAGTACAGTATTTTTTATACCAATAACTTATTTTTATTGTAACCCCCCCTCCTAGTGGCTCAGCGTTAAATCTTTGGAATTATGACGCTAAAAATCGGGTTTCGATACCCATGATAGGTACAGTATAAATAGCTTTTTTTTAACTTAGTTAGTACCGTTTTCCGTGACAAAATTAACAAATAAATAGGAAAACAGTTCCCACAAAATAAATTGTCTTTTAACTAAATTCATAAAAAAATTAATTTTTCCTAATCCCTAAGCAATGAACAGTAAAATCCACTAGAATATAATACTGCTTTAATATTTTTTGATATTATTTAAAATAACATCTAACAGATATATATACACACATATATAATTCAACTACCCATTTAAAACACAATTCAAATGTTGCCCAAAGAATGGCCTTTTACACAAGGTTGTATCACAAGTTGTTTTGTAATTAACTTATCTCTGGCAAAGTAGACGTCTTTAATTCGTAAGTTCTTAACTCAGTATTAACGAATTAAGTATTGTTTATTCGCATATACACTAAGAAAATGCGTTTCAGCAAAAGGAATTATATTTGACTGCTTTTTATTTTGCGGGATCGAACATTGGATCCAAAACATTTATGATTAAGCACTCTGGTAGATTTATAACCAACAAAAACTTATTTAATTCGATCAACCTAATCTTTCTTTCCTTTCTTCAAATTTCTAAATATTTGTTTAGTTCTTTTCGCTAACCAATAAAAAAACACTTCTTTTTTTTTTGGAGCTTAAATGATCGCCAATGAAACTTAAGCAGGAGTGAGAATTTGTAGTTTTATAGAACGAATGATCATTTCTAAAAATTTTCTCGCTTTTTTTTTCAAACCTAAACTTAATTGTCAAGCCTAACAGTTCCTAAATGTGAATAAAATATTTCAAGTCTAATATTTTATCAAAAAGTGTTAAATTGTTATCAATATATCTATGATAATTCAACATCAACTGGAAAATTTACATTGAGGTCCTTTCATATTTTAAATGAGTATGGATTTTATACTAAAACAAAATAACAAAAGCTGCATAAGTAGATGCCATTTTAATTCTAGAATCCGTTTCCATTTTTAACGATAAAAAAGTTTTATACACAACGTAACTAGATTTATAACTAGTTTACCCACTTTGAGATTTTTTTTTGTTATATAGGAGGAAAAAAGCTTTTCTAACCTAAATCTTTTATAAACCTTTTAAGTAAATACTTTTACAGATTCAATACTTTAAGAAATGAAATTGACATACACATATGTACTTTGATGACTCCCTGTAAGTTTGTTTTCGTAGTGTCTGCCTCAGTGCCATGACTAACGAGGTTAAACGGTAATCCTTTTCCAATTATAGTTTCCCTCTTGGTGTATTTAGGTTATTTTTATACAGTTCATACCGCACTGTATCTCTGAACTGCTTCCTGTAAGTCCTGCGTTTATAATAATACTTTTTGTTATTCATGTACATACACAGACAGATCACTTTATTGGGATACCTTCAAACACATCTGTAGAAAGCTGTATGCATTTTTCTACGCAAAATAGACTTAACGTGTGATTTACAGAACCTTATAAATGTGAAGGAATAGCCATACTACGATTATTCAGGAAGACAATGAGTAATAGAATAGTATAATAGGGGATAACAATTTAGTAGGAACGTCGTTATCAATATACCTTCTTTTGGTCGACCGTTTAAACACGTCTGTCACCAGGTTTTCACAACGGTCACAATCAAAAGAAAACCTATCTGTCGCTAACAAAATTTCATCCACTAACGGTTGATAACAGACAAAGGATAAAGACGATTGATCGGGGTAATAAATAGGAACAAACGTCAAACAGTGTTCTAATTCATCATCTCCTTCAGCATGGCCATAATTCGGCTATCTGTGACCACTTAACGTCCTTAACTTATAACGTCCTCTTTCAGAATGGAAAACTGGAATTTTTAGACTTGTTTTATAAAACAAAATATAATTTTGTGACTAAAAACTATTGATCATCTCTACCAGGATCTCAAATTAGATTTCTTAATCATTAGTTTTTTAGAGAAACAAAAGACATCATCATTGGTTAATTATAAAACAAAAGACGCATCATCATTGGTTAATTAGAGAAACAAAAGACATCATCATTGGTTAATTATAAAAACAAAAGACGCATCATCATTGGTTAATTAGAAAAACAAAAGACGCATCATCATTGGTTAATTAGAGAAACAAAAGACACATAACCATTAGTTAATTATAGAAACAAAAGACACATCATCATTGGTTACTTAGAGAAACAAAAGACACATAATCATTGGTTAATTAGAGAAACAAAAGACACATCATAGTGCTGGATTTTTCTTCTAATTATTCATTGATAGCACTTTCGTAACGTAAGCGCTTTATACAGATATAGAAAATAACATAACTTACAACTCTGTCGTTGTTTAACAACCTACACATAACCTTGCACAGAAATGCTCATGTTTTCCTGCCCAGGCAGCATTTTTGTATGTCCTTCTTTCTATATATATATTCGTGACATTTGTCTTTTAGGCTAGGCCTAAAGGTGAAGGTTTAACGCCTTATCAGGGAAAGAAGAGGTGTTTTGGTGAATACAAGTGTCCCAAATGTAAGCGAAAGTGGATGAGCGGAAACAGCTGGGCCAATATGGGACAAGAGTGCATCAAATGCCACATAAACGTTTATCCTCATAAACAGGTTGGTGAATGCTTATGAGTAGGTTTGTTTAGAAGCTCTGTACTTAGCTGCTGAACTACTGAAATCAATTTTTTCATTGTGTATGGTGATTTATATTCGTAGTGTGTGGAACAAGTTAAAGTATTCCTTGAACTTACCTTCTGACCTGTAGACAAAGTTAGTTTTGGAGTGCTATTCATAGAACTGAAAACGAATTAAAACAAATAAGATATATCAAATAGAAAGTGGAAATGTATAAAGATATTACAACGACAAAAATACGAACTGTTTGAAGTATTCACTGTTGTTTTTGATTATGTGTAGTATAATCTATGAAGGCATTCATATTTCTGTTTACAAAGTGAAGCCAAAACTTTCTACGCAGATCCCAAAAGTACTGTTTCTTTACTAGTTAAGGTTTACTTCACAAAATTTCTAAGTTGAACTTTCCATAATTGTTGATAACATATAAACCAATGTCTAAATAATATGGTTTTCCCAAAACGCCAATATAACGAGTGCTCAGCAAACCACCAATAATTTAAGGTAATTTGAAATGGATAAACTGAGTTTGACTAAAAAAGTTTGTTTTTCTTCCAATATACGTTTTTTTTATTGGCAGATTTGTATTTGTACGTGCTGATGTATTTAGTCTTTTTAAAAATAACTATCGAAATAAAATATCAAACATTGGCTCTCTTCACTCCGATACGGCAAAACATTTCCTTTCTGTAATAAATAAAAAAAATAATTTTACTTCTCTAAAAATTCTAGTTCTTGTTAGCGACAAATCTGTTCTCAGGGAAGTAATGTATTTTTTTTTTCAAATTACTAAAATGTAATGTACTGTTTCTTACATTTATAACTTCTGCTCACCGAGACCATAGCCCCCTTTTCTTTGTTAGATATAGCGAAAAATAACTTAAATGTTACGCATAATTGTAGAAACATATGCTTGAGTTTATTGAAGACATTACCTTGAAACAATTGTATATTATTGAAGGCATCACTTTGATAACGGTGCTCTTGGATATCATTATTAATGCATGAAAATTAACATTCTCAAAAGGGAGAAGGTGGATATAAGTTACACAATCAAAGCTACAGAACAACAGTTTAACTATTTACTATCATAGGTACATTATGTATTTATTGTTTCTACGCAATGTCACATTTAATAACATGAGTACATCGTCTTCCATTATCTTATAACAGTTAATTAGAAATTAATCAGTAGGTAATTTTTTCAACTTCTCACAGCTATATTATTGAAAACAATCAAACGAGATATATATAAATCATGTTGACATTATACGCCTGTTTAATATTTTTCCAATAGAAGGGTTAAGTATTTGAGTGACAAAGAGTGTTTTTATTACTTAAAAATTATATTTTGTTCAGTTTGTAGATACAATAATCTATAAACCTAAGCTTCATGTTCTCAGCAATACTTTGTTATTTTTCATTTTTAGCGCCCTCTAGAAAAACCTGACGGCTTAGATGTTTCTGATCAAAGCAAGGAGCACCCGCAACATCTCTGTGAAAAGTGCAAGACACTTGGATATTATTGCCGTAGGGTTCAATAAACCTACTATGTAGGGGGAAAAAAAGAGAGCCTACGTGACATGTTGGACATATTGACCTGCATTGCATACTCATAACTTATATGTTTTTATATTTTTGTGCAGTATTTAAGTTGAAGGTTGTTGTTTGATAGTAACCTTTATAATCATTCAACGTTGCAGAAATAACGTAGAGCTTAAATGTTGTAAACATAGTGAATCCCTTTGTTTGTTTTTTAGTTGATGAAAATATTTATACGTTTTGATTATTAACAGAAAAAGAAAATATTCGACTAAGATTAACTCATGTATTGCAACTGAAAGAATATTTACATTCAAGCTGTGTAAATATAGTTATTTAGGATACATACATATATATATATTACTGAAAAATCCAAGATATCTCTCATGCGATAACTATTTGAATGTGATTCCAGAGTATCACAGTAGGTGGTACTCTACTGAATAGATTTTTATTTATATAAATTTTGCCGAAGTAAAGCACTTCTGGTTTGTCTATACATGTTTTTGTAGACTGGTGTTTCGTACAAAATTTATGATGTTTTTAGATATTCTTTCTGAAAGTATTCCGAAATTTAAAGTCAGTATTGATTAGTAATTAAACTAGGGTTATTTTTATTAACAAAATTTTAATGTTACAAAATCGGGTGAAAAATCGGTTTATAAATAATTACTGTAAATAAACAGCTACTAGCCAATTTTCACTTATCAAACATATTCAGAAATATTTAAGCAATTCGAGCTTACAAAGCTATGAAATACTAAAATCGCTTCTAATATGTTTGTTATTGCTTATCGAAATATTTATATCTTCTTCAAAAGTCATATATATATGGGGTAACCATTTCACATTCTTGTGCTTAGTATATGTTGAAGATTGAGGTAAAACGTTTACGATACTTAATAAAGTAAAATTCTTGTGGTAATAGTGCACTGAGATAAAACAATGAAGCAGAGTTATTTGTAAATGTTTCATCTCTTCGATACACGAAGTAATTCAGTTGAACATAAAGTAGAATAAAAAGAAAACGGAAATAACTGGCAAAAGATGAAATGATGACAATTAATACTTCCCATTGAAGTTATTGGAGTAATAATACTTAATTGTTATAACTTCTATGTTGGAGACAAAAAAGTGTATTAATAAACACTTGATGTAATGATATTACAGTGATCATGACATGGAAAAGATAATAACAAAACGACTTACTTATAAAGCTCGTGTCTATGAAAAGTGAGTAATAATATATAATCTTTGAGGAAGTATTGTAACTGTTACGTCCTCGTGCCGTAAAATATTTGTAAGGAATTTGAAGGTGTGAACATTTTAAATTATAGCAAAAGTTTAGAGTATATTTAGAAAAGAGATCTTTCAGCATACTTGACTGATCTTTACTGGCTGAAAAATAATATTTTTGTTTAAAATAGAAGATTAGAAGTGATAGAAAGGGTGAATTAAGTTGAAACTCAATATAATATACATTGCAAGATGTTTAAGTTAAAAAATAATTTATATGGGTTTTAGTCACCATTGCTGGTTAATGATAGATGGCTTGTTTTTTAACTATTTCTGTTTAACTGACAGTAATATTTGTCTCATTGTTAAAATGTAACTCTTGGTCATGGTTACAAATATAGCTCCTGATCATAGTTACAGTCAGGGTGCTTTATTATTCTTAACATGGAACTATTAGTCATAGTTACAAATATAGCTCGTGATCATAGTTACAGTCAGGGTGCTTTATTATTCTTAACATGGAACTATTGGTCATGGTTACAAATATAACTTGGGAATGACTACAGTCAGAACGATTTATCATTTTCAAAATGAAACTCTTGACCGTATATCATCAGCTCTCCGTCGGGGAAGACGAGGACTGTTGGGAGGCATTTTTGTGCTTATGTTCCACGCGGGCCCGAAAAATTTAGCCGCACTGACTGCAGCAGTGAGAGTCGCAATCAGGAAGGACAAGGGAGTAGTTACGCCTTCTGTCCCTGTTTATGAGGTACTGTTGTTCCCTCTTTGCTTCCACGGTCTTCGTTACGGCTCTCACGTTACTTCTCTACATTGGTCAGTTTTGAGTAAATTCTTCCAAATTATCAATACTGATTTCAGAGGCTCTGAAATGACATTTCAGATCATCCTTATATTGCAGCCCCCCCCCCCAACGTGTCCGATACCTTCTGTGAGTTCACCATATTTAGGTATATCTGTTGTCGTCCAACCTGATAACGTGATCTGCCTAGTAGAGCTGAGAAGAAGTGAGAAATGCTTCAACACGGGGCATATTGGCACGCTTTAGTACTTCAATATTGGAGACTTTACCCTGCAACTTAATGCACAGAATTCTCCTCAGATGTCTTGACTGTACACTATTCTGTTGAGATGTCTTTTATACAAAGTGTACGTCTCAGCAGATTAGATCAGGTAATGAAGATAACAGCTATGTATAACGACATAAGTCCGTGCTGTGATCAGACTCTGTTTTCTAAACGTCCAAAGCCAGCGGAGGCGACTTGGATGCGATTGCTGATTTCCACTTCTATAGTTGTTGTATCTGTTACAGTGCTTTCTAAATAAGTAAACCTGTATACTAATTTTAAAAAATCTTCGTATATACAGACAGTGTGGTGTTCGTAGGTGATCGTGTTAGATGGTGGCTGGTGCAGAATTCTTTAAATTGATGGTAAGACAGAATTTTATGGCTGCTTTATTAAAAACACTAAGAGTTGGAGACAACAAAGGCGACATCGTAGGCAAAAATAAGTTATTATATACAAACTACACACACTTTTGTGTTTACCTTCAGTCTTTTAAAGTTGAAAAGTCAGTATCAGTTCTCGTTCTAATGTAAATACCACTTGAGCTTTCTTCCTTAACTGATCTTAGTACTGTACTGATGAATATTGTAGATAGCATTGGAACTAGGATGTACCCCTGTTTTAGCCCGTGACGTACATCAACGAGTACACTTCTGTCGCCAGAAACAGGGACTGATGCTTTCTTGTCATCGTGGAAACTTCTTATCATCTTTATCAGCTTGTAATAGCACACACATAAGCCCATAAGGTTTCTCGGTCTAATGAATCAAATGCCTCCGTAAAATCAACAAAGATAGCTTAGAGACTTTGATGTTGTTCGAGCGCATTTTCTTGTAGTTGGTGCAACTTGAATATCATATAAGTAGTTAATTTATTAGCTCTAAAACCCCATTGGCTTTCTGAAAAAAAAATATTGCAACGAGTTGTAGGCGTTTCAGGATAATTTTTGCCAAGACTTTTCCAGCTATATACAAGAGGGATATGTCTCGATGATTTCCACATTCTGCTCTGTCACACTTATTTTTGTAGATGGTGATAACTATATCATCTTTAAATTCCAGTGGAACTTTTCCTACCTGCCTAAATTATTAAACAGTTTTGGCAATTGTCTCTTGAGAGATAAGCCGCCTTGTTTAATTATTTCTAGTGGAATACAATCCATTCCTGGAGCCTTCCCTTTATTGTGCCCGACAGTTCTACCATAGTTGGTATGATTCTTAACACCTCTTGGACTGGAATTTGTTTGTTTGTAATTAAGCACAAAGCTACACAATGGGCTATCTGTGCTCTGCCCACCACGGGTATCGAAACCCGGATTCTAGCATTGTAAGTCCGCAGACATATCGCTGTGCTACTGGGGGCAACACCTTTTGGACTGGAATTTGTTCAAAGCTTTGTAGTGCATCGATACTTGAAGTGAATGGGTGATTTGATAGATCTTGAAAGTGCTCTTCCCAATGATTGGTAATGTCGTCTTTGAGAACCATCAACATTCTTGATCAGAGCCACATTTAGGGATGTAGTTCTATAGACTGTTTAGTTCTGTATGAAATGTTTTTATATTGTTCGTATCAGCAATACGTTGGAGCTAATCAGCAATATTGTCACACAACTCATTCTTAATATTTCTTACTTTATGCTGTAATTCCGCCTTGACTATAAGCTTTTGCTGGGTCGATCTTGTATTCGGCTTTAGACGTCAGCGTTACCTATCTGTCTCGCATATAAGAGCTTCATGATTTCAGAATCATTTTCATCAAACTAATGAGCATTTGTTCTTAGTATTTTACCGAAAACCTTTAAGGATTTTTGACATGGGGTCACTGAGCTGTTTCCACTGATGGTCAACATCACCTATGAACACTAACTTTCTCTAGTTTGTGCACATTAAGTTTTTTCGGTGCTTTTGCTCCCTGTTTGCTTTAGTCTGTTTCATTATTAGTTTTCAGGTACTGAGAATGTGAAAATGACCAGTTGAGCAATATGCACCTGCCATAGTGTCAGTTGATAGAATGTCATTAATATCAAATCTTGTAATAATGTAGTCAAGTAGGTGACACTTGGTTGATCTTGGATCTTGCCAAGAGAAGCACCATTTGTCTGGCTTTATAAAAAAAATGTGTTGGGGATAGTTAGGACTTTTTCACTGCAAAGTTCAAGTAATCTATCACCATTCAAGTTGGACTTATCTTTGCTAAACGTATCTAGAACACACCTCGAGGCCTTTCAGTCTGCTCCAGCCCTGACATTAAAGTCTTCCATCAAAATAATTGTCTGAGCATGGTATAGTTTCGAGAGTGTAAAGCAGGTCAGAATAAAATGCGTTTTTTGTTTCTTCGGCATTCACCATGGTAGGTGTATAAGAGGAGATGAAAGTAATATATCTGCCTTTTTCATTTTGAAGTCTTAAGCTCATTATTTTTTCTGAGATGGCAGTAGAATATGATCTATGTTTACCAACTATCTTATTCTGAATAGCAAAATCCGCTCCAGCATCTCTTCTGTCATTGATGGTTTTGCCAGACCAGAAGAAGGTGTACTTTTTATTCTCGTACTTCCTTGAATTGCTAACCTTGTTTCCTGGAATGCTGCAATTTCAATATCCTGCTAGTTCCCAATTAATAACGGCGGTTCTTCTTTCAGGTCTGTTGTCTATACAGATGACTGACAGAATTCGAATGTCTCAAGTTCTAAGAGTAACATGCCAGTAATTCTTTTGATCACAATATGAAAACTCGCCAGTTGTGACAAGCTCGTCAGGTTTCAGAGGAACGAACTTTGTTTACTTCACCTTTTCTAGGGGCCTCCTCAAAGAAAGCGACAGGCAGTGCCGTCCTTGAATAAGGCTGCCTGAGCATCCAAATAGCTGCCCTGCTTCGCTGTATCTCCAGTCAGCAAAGCAAAACCATCACACCCAGACTGCCTATGTGTAGAGTTT